TATATGGATATGCATTGTCATTTACATGTGGTTATGTTTATTGATGGTATTGGCTTTATTGCGGTGCTACTTAAGTATTTCCATTCTTTAAAGACTACCTGATTGCCTAGAGAACAACAGACTCTTGATCCTAAAATAACTTAAAAGTGAATGGCATAATGGTGTTTGTTTTTAATCTAACAAAAATGAGTACAGCAGAGTGGCAACAGATAAAATCTGTGTGTGAGGCCATTCGTTTTGTAAGTTTCCTTTTTGTTGTTTTACTTAACTTGTCTTCCATTATCTGGAAAAAAAAAAAAAAAAGACCTTTGAGCAGATTGTCAAGAACTACTAATTCAGTCCCAAGTAACATTTCCTTTTCCTTTTATAAAGCCAAGGGGAGTTTGACTATAAATTTGGCACAACATTCTGTCCTGTGGTCCACGACTGCACCTATTTCAGTGAATTTATGTGCTTGTATCAACATCTGATTAGTGTAAGTGTGCTAAAATTTAATCAGTACTAAGTAGCAAGATCTTTAAGAGGCAAACTTCCAGTTGCATTCCATTTAATTAAAACTGCAGAAACAATTGTATTGTTTTGTCAAATTATAAGTTATATGACGTACACCTAACCAAGAAGTCATCTTTTTTTTTGATGTCATTACAACTTGGTTGTTAATTTCTAGTTTCTGATTCCAAAAGTAGAAGGCTTAAGTCCTTAAGAGAGTTTGCGGGTTATTCTGAAGGGCTTGCTATCCTAAAGAGGTTACAATTCCTAAGTTCCCTCTGTAACAGTGACGTGCGAAAACATTTAAGTCTTTCATGACACTGAGGCAAAAAAAGTCACGATGTTGTTAGGTACCAAAATTGTATTATGCCAGTTCGAAAAGTCTTGGTTTGAGTTGTGGAAAACATAGGTAATTACAAGGTGTTATGTCATTATGACCTGTTATTTGTGGCTTTGGCCACAAATGTGCCAGCAACATGCTGTTGTCATCGCTCTGCACAGTAGAAATCTGCATGTTCCTCACACACTTTGTATTCTGACTGAAACATAACACCCCTGCCTACTGTTCTCCTCCAGATTTCCACTGCCAGATTATGTTTGGCCAGATTTTTGTTGTCATGCAATGAAACTGTGCAAACATACTTGAAGTGAGGGAAGGTCCTTATTTTGTGGTGTTCTCCATCCCTCCCTACCTCTTCTGGACTTTCTGGAGAGCTAAAACGAGTCACTCTAGAACTGCCATTCCCTCCACTGATCATAAAGGGAGCCTGGATAACTAGGTTTAATGGAGATGCTGATGTTGTACATGTCTGAAGTTAGATGAGATAAATCCTACCACTGATGGCTACTCTCTTATCTTATTAGTGGGTGGTGCTGAATTGATTTTTTTTTTAAATACACATTACTTATTTTTGATACAGGTAAAACACTTCATCAACTATTGTTTTCCTAACCTATTCCCTCTCATAGGATCATAGCATAATTCAGGCTGGAAGTGACCTCAGGAGGTCTCTAGTCCATCTCCTGCTCATAGTGAGGTCAGCTGTGAGACCAGATCGTGTTGCTCAGGATTTGATCCAGGTCTTGAAAACTGCCAAGGATGGAGATTGCACACCTTTTCTGGACAACCTGCTCTAATGCCTGACTGTCCTCATAAGTGTTTCCTTTTATCCAGAGTCAGAGCCACTTTTGCTGCAATTTGTGCTTGTTGTCTCTTGCCTTCTGCCATGCACTGCTGTGTAGAGCCTGACTCTTTGTTCTTGATAACCTCGTCGTTATTGGGTCCCCCTGCAGCTGTCTCTGCTCCAGGCTAAAAAAAAGCCCTGTTCCCTTAGCCTACCAGATGATCTGTAGTAGCAAAGACCTTGATATAAACTTTCAGGTGTTCTTTTTCTGAAGTTTTGTGCAGAATGCAGAGCTATTTTGGGAAATTTCAGATTTTACTGTCATAACTATTGGGAGGGGAATAAAATTCAGAATTTTTGAAATTTTTTTATATGCTTTCTTCATCTTCGCATGTTTTTCACCTAGACCTTCACTGAGGTCTGCCTTGAGTTCCTGCCTGGAGGGGAAAATCATGGGATATTAGATAACCGCAAACATTTTGTTTTCATTTTATGCTACTTCTGTGCTATCAATCTCCTGATTTTTGCACAGTCATTTTTTTCTAACATTCTCAAACTGAGTTGACACCATTGCCTTTGCTGGGCTTTGTATGGTTATTTGAGTAGATACTGGTGTCGATCTGAATTTGTAATTACTTTAACATGCTGAAGAGACTGTCACAGAAGCCAAACTAGAAAGTGGGAGAAAAGCAGGAGCGAAGACATCTGCCATTATGAAGATGGCAGATTAGCTTTGTAGCTGGTATAGATTGCCCAGCTTTCTTTGGAATGGCATTAATTTACCGTTTGAGGACCGTACGCTGTGGTCACAAGCGGCAAGCAGTTAAATGTGAGCAGCTGAGCTCCAGTATAGTTCTAGCTGAGCTCTTGATAGTATCCAGAGGGGTTAGACCACTGTTAATAGATGCTAAGATTTTCATACAGTGACAAGACTTCAAGCATTTTGCTGAAACTTTGAATGAATAGCAGGAATTGTCACAACTGATGCATCTCATTGCATCACGTTTGCCGCTCTAATTTGTGCTAGGATTTGATGCTGATTTTCATAAGAAATGACACTTGTTCCATAGGCTGTTCTGCAAATAAGGGATGCTAGCTTCGTGGAAGAAAAGGGGGCTTAATGAAACCGTAGTCGCACATTATTATAATTTTGATGGCAGTGCATCCTCTTTCAAGATACAAGGCGCTATTTGGAGCTAATATGTAAACTTGTACCTGTCTTATTTCAATTAAAATAGAGAATTGCTGAAATCCAGTGCTTTAATATCAATAACAAGATTTTGCTTCTGACAGAATTCAGACAAAAGCTGCCGGATTTTAGAAGCTTGAAAATCCAGTTAGCATGAAGATATAGTAGGATGAACTCTTTATTTCTTACATAAACTTTTTTGTTTTGTGTTTGTGCAGAAAGATTATTTTTCATTCCATAATTTCAGTTAAAGCATAACTGTGAAGGAATTTTCCATTTTTAAATTTGTTTTAGGGGAAAAAATTGCTCGTATTATTATGAGGAGACGACTCTAATGAGAATATTGCGTGTTAATACCCTGCAACTATGAACTATTCATTTGATATATGCCACAACATTCACTGAAGCTTGTTAACAAAGCAATTACAGAGTCACTTGGCCCCCCCCAAAGTTATAAAAAGAATTAGCAGCCCCCATCCTCAAGGAATAACGAGTTACAACTGAAAAGGTCTAAAATCTCATCACAGCTTTCAAATGACTGAGTCCCATTCCCTCCTTGCTTGCGCGCTCCCTGGATGTGTGCGCGCACACACACATACACACACACACACACACACACACCCATCACCAGCTCCACAATTTGCAAATAACTGTGCATTCCCAATTTTTGTAGCAACCTCCCATGCAAGCGTTTGCCTGTTTCCAGGCTTGCAGTTACAATTGGTGAAATGCAGACTTCAGTGAAGCCTATTAAGGTGTCCCTGCTGGTCTCCCCACTATACCATTCTGCCCCTGCCTGCTTGCTTGTGACCCACAATTCACTCCACTATGCTTACAGAGCAGACACTGTGTTTTAACATGCACCGGTGAGGCTCTTGCTGCACCTGCGACTGGTTTGAGCGTAACCAGGAGCCAGCTACAGAGCCTGGTCTTGAGCCCCTGTGCAACCTGGTCATTGATGAGACACTATCTGCTTAGGAGTAACCCCCCTTTTGCAAAATGTAGCATACACCGGCATTGTACTGAAATATTCAAATGCCAGACAGTCCACAGAAATGGTCTGGAAACTGCAGACTTCACAAACAGAGACAGCGATAGTTTCCTGGAAGACTTGATGCTGGGTGTTGGTCGGCTGTGCCCTGTGATCTGAATCAAACGATGATAATGCCACAGACGCTGATGTAGCAGATCAGTGTTGCTATAACTGCTTATAGCAGGTGTATTCAAGCTGGAGTCTAGGTACTCAGTCTCTCTTTAGATTTTCTTGCTTTTCCATCACTTTCTCACGTCTTTTAACACTCTTAAAATATGGTTAATCTTATACTTAGCGAGTGATGCTGCTGGTGGTAAAATTGTTCAGGGATTTATGTTCAAATACACGTAGTATGTTTTAAGTTTTATAGTTTATCCTTTTCCTATTCTCAGTTGTTATCTTTAAAATCCTAAATGGTAAAAACCTTAGTTTCACTCTGTGTCCTCCCTTTTTGCCATTAAATACTGTTACTGTTCTTTGGCAGTGTTGTCAACTTGTATTGTTTTGATCGTGACTCTCAGTATTTGGTAGGGTTTGGAGTTTTTCTGAAAGCTTTTTCTTTCCTTGACATGTTGAATCTTTGGGATAGATGATACCATCTCTTTCTTTGTTGGTGTTTATGTTTCTCTTTCCACTTTTTTTAATTTCTCTGAAAGAAAGGCCCACACCTAAACTGGAACATTATTATTCTCCTGTCTTAGAAGTTGTTCCATAACTTGATAATTAATTCCAGGAGAGACTTATTTGCACAGATGTAATGCACACTAAAACCTTTGCTGAGCCAGTCATTAACCCAGCAAAATACTTTTTGCTGTTTGGTCAGTTTAGTTTTCTGTTGAGTTAGCAAGCTGAACTCAGCAAAACTGAGCAGGGAAGGAGGTGCAGGACCATATGGCTAAGAGCAGTGACTGGAAAGCAGGGGCAGCCTTTGGTGACAGCAAGCCATTAATTTGGCTCAGCTACGTTGTTAAAGCATACTTTCACTGAGGTCAGAAAATTCTTCAAATGTCACACAAGCATTTCGTTCATTAGGGCTGTGCTGTTAAAGTCTTAATTTCTAGTAGACTCTCGTTATGGTTATCCTCAAAATACTGAGGTTAATCAAGACCAGGTATTGGATTCTTTCTAATTACAAAGTTGGTCTACAAATCCAGCCATCTTCTGCATGTTTTTTTTTCTGTTTCAGAGGGAAGATGTTGCTAATGAGGAAACGGCAGAAAGATTCTCTCTTCGGAAGCATCGCTTCATGCATTTTGCATCGTTGGAATATGAAGGAGAATATTACATGACACCAAGAGATTTCTTGTTTTCAGTAATGTTTGATCAAGTTGAACGTAAGTTGTTTTCTCATCGTTGTATTAGTGAAGGAACAGAAACTTGCAAGTCCTCTTGAAGATATAATTTACAAATCATTGGGATAAGACCCTTCATCTGACATAAATCAGCAGAAGCCTATTTATAAATATTGTGCTTATGGATTCTCACAGGCACTAGCTTATACACCACTTAAAGACAAATGATCTAGAAATCTGGAGACTTCATGGTATTAGGTCTGCATAATTTGCATGTCTAATTAGTATGTAATTCCTCAGTTACTTACATGGCACAGAAAGTTAAAAGGCTCTAATATACTAGTTTAATGTATTAGTGCTCATACCGTGCCTGTCCCAGCTGTATGTCTATGTACTTTACTGATAAGTACATTGTGTGTCTGATAATATTTGACATCTAACGAATAAAGGTCTTGATCCTGGAAACCCTTATGCGTATACTCAGTGTAGATTTAAAGTGTCGTAGCATCTTTACCTGTTGAACCAATCATTTATCTGCAGTCCTTCTCAAAAGTTAAAACAGATTTTCTTATGTTTTACAACACCAGTACGCCAGAGGTGGTGTGTCCACAACAGAGTCCCAACACAGTACATTTCAATGAAAGTTAGTGTGTTTCGAGTTTGCTGAAAAAGTTGATTGACTTGGTTGAGTTTGCTGTGAAAACTAGGTTGACACAAGCTTATGCGGTGTTTGCAAGTTTGACATGGTGTGTTCCTGCAAGTTGCCTCAGTATCAGCGCCTGTTCAAGAAGATGAATCTGTGCGAAAAATATAATGCACGCTGTGATTGCTAGAAAGTTGAATTCTCCATTGTACTCAGTAGAAATCTAGTCTGTGCGTTTGTGGGGGTATGGAGAGCAATTTACCTGATCAGGCAGTAGATGGGTACTTTAGAATAAGCTGATTCACTCTTTTTCTCACATATGTTTAATTTCAGATGATAGTGGGAGTTCAGATGCCTGTATTTGTGTGTGTCTTAATTTTGAACTGAATTTCATCAGTGATAATTAATTAAACTGATGTAAATCATGCATGAGATTCAAATCTAAAAGCTAGGGTTCGGTGTTGAAGTTAAAGACTAAAGCTTGCATGAATTACAAAGTTACGTATGGGAAGCATGGATTAGAAATGTCGTACAGGGAGCCATTAGCGAACTAGGAGCTGAATTCAGTCCTCTTCAGTTTCTCATGTTTTAAGAGGTCATTTTCTATCTCAGTATTGAGTAACGTTTAGTAGTGATATTTCATTATTGATCAAATTCCCTAAACATGATAGAGAACTATATGAACTGGGATATGTGAGACAGACGTGACTCCTTTCCTGGTGCTAAGCTGTGACAGTGAGGCAAAGCAGCGAGGAAGAAGCAGCATAATGGTTTATGAATCTCTTCTCAGTTTTAGAAAGAGGAAACAAAATCAGTAATTTCTAGCCAAAGCTTGTAAATTGTCATTGTTTACTCATTTCCTTAAGTGAGTCTTCGAGGGAAGGAGAAAGTACTGTTACCGTTGAGGAATCTGCATACATAAGCAAAGATAACCAGATTGCTGTAATTTTGCACATCGGTAACCAGCCCATGTTATGATGTATGTTCAGCTATCCGTCATCACCCAAACAGCATTGGGAAGTCTCACCACAACCCTATGAAACTTGTTAAAACAACATATTAGGTACATTTAGCATTTTATTTTATCTTAATGTGTCCAAACACAATACTAAACATGATGTTTTGGATAAATACTAGACTTCAGCCGACTATTGGTGAATAGGTAAGCTTTTTTCTTTTTCCTTTCCTCCGCACCAATAAGTATAGTAACACTGATACCTGAGTTACATAGGGTATGTCTGATGCAAGACTGATCATTAGTAAATTGGCTAGCTTATCAAAAAATTAATTTGAGAGGAAATTTTTCTTTATTTAGAAACAGTAGAAATAGCACAAATTCATATGATCTTGGTAATGTATATTTATGTCTGGACGTTGTTGTAAATTTGAAGCGATGGAGTCTGAGTTGGGATTCTTGAGGAGAAATTGAGAGGGTTGGTTAGCGGTTTTTTTTTTTCCTTTTTGCCCTGAGCGATCAAATCCGCTCCATTGGCCAAGCTTCTCTTTTGCTGTGTTAATGGCTGGCGATTGCATTGACTTGTTTGCCCTTATTTTTCAGAAAAACTTGTTAGACTCAGGGACTCAGAAATGGAGATAGGAGATGCTCTGAAGAAGAGAAGGGGTGCTAGGTGTGAGCTAGCAGCATGCACCTGAGTGCACACTGCCAGGAAGCAGGAGGAAGGGTTCAACAGTGTGTTCATGGGAAGGGGAAATATGGGGCAAAAGCACTTAGGAAGTTGCAGGATTTAGCATGCCACTGCACAGTGGGAGGTGCCTCTATTTCCATGTTCCAGGTCTGTGTCTTGAACCATGTTACAAGACAGCACTAAAGATTACCTGCAGTATGTTGTTTGTAAGGTTAAATAGGAAAATGTATTTTTGGTCCTTAAAACTGTACTGAGATTTCGTTAATCTGATTTGTGTGCCTGTAGGTACGTCTGCATGAAGCAGCAGTGAGTTTGTAATAAGCTCCTGGTTTTGTTTCGATTAATTCTTGCTTTTCCTTTTGTAATGTTGCTGACTTTTGTTCGAGAATGACACAGAATCACTGTTGTTATCTCTGTTAACTGCAATGCTTACTGATTAGGTAAAAAGCTTGGCAAGGTGTTATGATATGAAAATACTTTATTAGCTATTTATTAAGTTTTCTGAAAAACGATTGTTATTGGAGATATATTGTAACTTCTCAATGAAGGCAATTTTTTAAAACAGCACAAAAATAGTATCACTAATAAAATTGGTCAGACCAGCACAGTTGTAAGCAAGAGGCAAGCGGTCTCAACACACATCTTGAAGGATTTAGTTATTTAAAGTGTGAAAGTTATTGGTTATTTAATGGCATCTGAATGGAAAACAGATTCCTTGAAACGAGTGAAAATATATTGTGCACATACAGAATACTTGTAATAGAAGTAATGGAAAGATCTGGTTATTAATAACAGGAGTCTGCTTGTTGTTATAAACATGGACTGCCTTAGAATTTCAGAAGTCTTGCAGCAGCGTCTACTTTAGTTAACTATTCCAGTTTTGGAACATACTACTGAGATATTTAAAATACCTAATGGAGAAGCCACTTTTTTATATATATATGAACAAATTCCAAGAACTCTTGCAATCATTCCTGGTCTCTGAATATTTTTCCTATTTATAATTTTTTTTTTAACGCAACACACTATTTAGATGATATTCATAACATAATATTGACATACCACAGAAAATATCTCTGGGATTTTTTCTGCTATAGATTGTGAATACATTTTGACAGATTACCACAGTATTATTTTTAAAATAAATGCAGTGGAACTTAAGCAGGATGTTTCGGAACTGATTAAGTGACAATTACGTCTTAACACATGTAGCGTTAAAATCAGACACAATGAATTTTTATCACTCTTAAATGTATTTTAATTTCTTGCAACGTATGTCCTTAACACAGTTATTGTTTTGTACTTAAGAAGTTAAATACAGTCTGTTTTTAAAATACCTTGAGTTTACATTACAGTATTCAGAAATGATGGTGATCTGGTGGGCCCCTACCTGGATGATACCTGTGGATGATAACATGCCAGAAGTGCCAAAATCTAGCTTCCGTTCTACCCACCCATTTTCAATTGTAGTTCTTTCAGGGCTGAATGTTTCCGTGCTTGTCCTTAGGCCAAAGATTAATTTTTATAATGGTCAGAAAGATTAATCAATTTTGGGGTAATTTTGATATAGACTGATTTTTTTCCCCTGTGTGTCCTGGTAAGAAATGTTACATTATGGGCGTGTTTTTTGTTTTTTGTTTTTTTTTTTTAATATCTAAGGTAGACTCGTGAGCTATCACTTTCTTTATAGGCAACAGCAGCCAAGGTATGCGGTCTGCTTTGGTAGATGATATTGAGCTATACTCGTTTGCCAAGTAAATGAATATAGCATCTCCAGAGAGACCTTTGAGAAGTTCTACTGCCCCCAGTTTGACAATATTGGCATTGTTTTCCTATGACAAATTATCTACATTATGCTTCTTAGGCACCTGCAGCAGTTATTGCACAGATTGCAGTCAGCAGCCTATCTCATCTACTGTGAAACAAAAGCACATACGAGCTCAAAAATGTTTCCGTACATTTTAAAAAAAAAAAAAAAAAAAAAGCCAGGTTTCTGTTGTTAGAGCAGCCTGGGTACCTGACAGTGCCCTGTGCTGGGCTTACGGGCTTAGTTATTGCAAGTGAGAATACATCCTAGAATCATTTCACAACAATCTAATCCATCTTCCACCTTTATCCGACCTGTCAGAGGGCTGTGGTCCTCGTGCTGCTGTCCATAATGCTGGAGAGCACCTCAGTGTGCTGCTGGCTGGGTCTCCAGTTGAATAGCTCACCTCTCAGACCTAGAAAAGGTTTGTGTACCTTAAAGCTTAAGGATTTTTCAGCTGTACCTAATGAAGGTACCACTCCTTCCAACACATGCTGCCTTGCTTCTGAATAGCTGAAGGGTAGTTCAGAAGCTTTGCTAGGTCCAAATACATTCTTATTGACAGTTCTTAGTTTTTCTGATTGAATTTAGTATATGGAAAATGCTAGTGTCTTGGGACTTCGTTCACCAAGAGCTGCAATCCTAGCTGGTTTAATAAGTGAAAAAAAAAAAAAAAAGTTGGCTCCTTGTATGGAACTTGAATATAGAACATAGCCAAGTCAGCTGCCGCTTGACTTTGTTCAGGCTATTTCAGTAGTCTTCTGGCAGAGCTGATGTTTGAAGTCGTCAGTATGATACAGCTAATTTTTTCCAAGTGCTAGCCTTCTTTTCATACCTTGAATACGTGTCCTTTCCTCTGATATCTCTCATACTACTGTAACGGCTGGAATGATGGAGTCCTGCTGCTGCGTTGGTATTGGCAAGCTCTTAGTCGCATATCCCAGTG